TTCTCACTTCACTTGTAGACAGATAACATAATGTGACTCCCAAGTTCTAGCATAAATATCAAAAGTAGTATCTGTTAGGCTCAGCATCCTTCTTGTGACCGGTGTGACCTCTGTTTGGGGAGCCCCTGCTTCGGGGAATTGCTTTAGGGATTTTTGAAGCTTGGCAGCGGGCCAGACTTTCAGATAGAGATCCTTAATTAGGACATCTAGATCCCACCCTTGACTGATTACACTTTTCCTTGTGTAGCTTAAAATGCCTTTTTTATGTATCTGGGTGCTCACTTTAAATGGTTTGTGCAGGGCTGGGAATCCTGGTAGGTTGTTTGCTCGTTTAGTGGAGTCCTTGGGTCTCTCACGTGTATGTTTCCTTGCAATTTAGATCATCTACATTTATCTGATAATAATGCTGGGTGTATAAAATATTTCAAGCTGTTAGATCCTTTCATTGTGCAGTTAGTAAGTGGTATACCTAGGCTGGTTGTCTTGGTTATGAACACCATTAGGCTGACGCTGAGTAAGACAGTGCTCATGTCCACAGCTCTTAAGGCTTTTTAATCCGCTGGCGTTCCACATACCGACAATCCTGAGGTAACAGGGTGAGACACTCAGCGCCACAAAACCTGGTTTTATGGTGCCGAAATCCTTCACAGAGATGCTGGTGTGCCGACAGCTCTGGTGTTGAGGTCTGACAGGGCTGTGTGATTCATTCGCACGTGTAGTAACTGGGGAGCCCAGACAGCTCATGGTTGTCAGTCCCTAACACAGAGTGGTTCTAGTCAGCTCGGGAGAATCTCAAATTTCAGAGATTTTATTTTTAAAAGAGACCGTACTCGAGCAAAAACGTGGTTACTACTGCTGAAACTTCACGTTGGATTTACTGAGTTTCCCCATAAAATCGAGATGTTTCCATATACGGACTCCTGAATCGCAGAATAGTTTGGGTTGGAAGGGACACAGACTCGGGTGTCAGCTTTCCTCTCCTAGCCATGAACCTTTCAGTCTCATATGTTTGCTGTCTCTGTTCTAACCAAATTGTCTGTTGGGCCATCCTGAGCCAAACCCTAGAAGTCCCAGAAAAACTCCTGCTGTTCCCAGTAGTGTCAGTCAGGCTTCTAACGAGTACAGATGCCATTTATCAGTGTAGTAGAGATCTCTGCTTTCAAGTATTTATTTAAAAGCTCTGTTTGCAGAAAATACATTTTTTCATTCATCTACATGACAGCTTAGGGGAGGGGGAAATTCCTCCAGCAAAATTTTTCTTCCTTTCATCTGATTTACTTATCTAAAACATTCCTACACCCTTCCTTGAGTCTCACCAGTTAAAGCGAACTGTTCAGAGAAACATGAAACTTTTTACAATCTCTTCGTAGTGTTCACTATGAACTACAGCTCAGATTAAAACCAGGATATGAGCAGTAATTAATTGTCTTAGCCAGCAATGGGGTCATTTGAGAGTTCAAAGACAGCCGTTTAACTTGCATCTTCTTCTGATAAATGTGTTTTTAAATTTACTTAAGACATATCAGAATGCTGAAGTAGTTTAAGTCCAAGCTTTGTACTGACACATAAATGCAGTATGAAAAGGAACAGTGTCTAAGAAGTGTAAGTTGGTTCAGAAGAAATTAAAAAAAAAAAAAAAAAAAAAAAAAAACAGAAAGCAACAAAGCTGTTGTATCCAATCCAAAGTCTGATGGAAAGAAGCACCTGAGTGCTCTGGTTTGCGTACTTAATAGATAATCAGCAAAGATCATATGCAAGCAAACCCTCATCCTCTGCCGAAAGCTGGTTTCATATTTATATGCAATGGTGCTAATTCATAACACCATTAACAATATATTGAGGAAGTATTTTTGCACATTTCACAATTTCTATAGAGACACTGTGTAGGGGTTTAAAATAAAGACTTTCTAAAAAAGCTTTGTTTCAAATGGGAACATGAAGAGGGGAGATGAACAATTTTTGAGCCTTACAATCCATAAAATGGCAATCATTTTAAGTAGAGATGCTACTGGTAAGCTGAACTCGCATCTCTTCTCCAGAAGAGAAGCTCTACGGTTCACACTTGGGAGACCCCCAGGTGGTTTGTGGTTGCTCAGCATTCTGGGCAACGTGCAGAATATATCTGACAGTTTTGTACTGAAGTATTGGGCAGGGTTATCTCTGAGCCGTACGGAGCGCAGATGTGCAAGGCGCTCAGCCCAGCACTCCACTGGCAAGCTGGCTTCTCGCCTGTGCTTCTCTTTCTATGCTTGGATGGTACAGGGAGAGCTAATGGAGGGAAATGCACAAAGGTTTCCCTTGCTTCTATGTCTGTACTTCAGAATTTACAGATTTTTGTACTAAACAATCCTGTATGGTGAACCATTCTGCATGCTAACGTATGAGAAATCACTGCATAAAAGAGGTTGAGGTCAATTGGCTGTTACTTTGCTTAGATATGGTATTTTTTCATAAATACTGTTTCTAAATATCTGTATGCAGACATTCTACCTCATGTGTAACAGCTCTTTTCACTGTGGGAGTTACACATTATAAACTTCAGCAAACTTCTAACAGTCTGCCCACAGAAAAATTCCATGGCAAGGGGAATTGCTTTCTTTTTTTCCTCCTAGCCTGATGACTTGTTCTGAAAATGACTATTTTGGTCTTTTGCATGTGCTGTTTTTAAAATCAACATTACTCAAGTAATAGTACCTAGTCCTTAAAAAGTAAAAGGTTGTCCTTTACTTATTAGCTAAAATCTATTAAACCTATCACATAACCTCTAGTGTGTAAGTATTTTTACTGATGGAAACTTGGCAGTGTGTCCCATAATGAAGGCTTTTTCCAACCAGACCACTTTTCTTGCCATTGTAAACCAATGAATTCATTGCTGTTGTGGGTACAATTTCTGAATAATGCTGTTTCTAAAACGGTATTGTCTAGGAAAGCTTCCTCGTTGAGAAGCTTCATGATCACGATGGCATTTTAAATATGTTTTGAAAATGTGTGGTAGAGGTGATGTTGAAGTGCACTTTCTCTGTGGCTGTATTGATTCTGGAATTGCCACAGATGTAGACTAAGCAGTTGGTTACTTCTGCCTGTTCCTAAATTGTAATGGTCTAACTTTCTTATTATCAAACAATTCTCAAACTATGGGTAGGAAAAGTTATTCAGAAACTTCTGCTTAACACAAACATTTTAGTAAATGAACATTAAATCATTGCAAAATGGGACCGCTCACTTTACTTTCTTGACTTGGCAGACAGTAGAAATATTTACTACTAAAGCTTTTACATAAGAAACAGAGTTAATTGTGTGCATTTTTAGCTTTGGGTAGCCCAGGAGCCATACTCTAGCCTGTGTTCTAACCAGTGTGATGTGTGTGGGAGTTGGACAAACAAGTCCAGTAAAGGATCATAAGAATGTGTCTCCTATAGCTTAATTTCTTTTCCTTGGTCTGTAATGTCAAGGAGAGCTTTAAAAAGCCCTGGCAGAGGTAGGAAAAAGTGGTTTGAATAAAATGCGCCAGATTCAAATAAATCCTTGAGCTTTTAAAATGTTAGAGAGGAAAATTGCTGTATTCGTTGTTCTGCGGTTTTATGCATTGCCAGTCTTGCTAGTACTGAAATAACATGGAAGAGATTATTCTCACAGTAATATTTTTAACTCAAATGGATTTTTTACTTCCTGATAGTATATAAATATCTGCTCAAGTCTGTGGTTTTTTTCCAGGAATCAAAAAGATTTTTTTTTTTCCCTCCAACAACTTTAATTACCCATTTTGTATGTATTTCATATTTGTTATTGTTGAGTTTATATTTTATGTGATTCCTGTTAAGCAGTAAAGCATAGTATCTAAAATATTACATATGTCATAAAACATGTAGAGGTATACACTGGAGACAATTCTGAGGCTGAGATTTTAGTTTCTAACTCGTGATTTATTTCATTATCGGCCTTATGTTTTGCATTCGTTTTTGTTGATTATTGAAAAGAAATCATTAAGATGGGCTGATGGCTGCAGCATGAAAGAAAGTCAGATTAACAAATACAGGATGTGTGCCCTGAGACAGCAAGACAGCAGGAAGAGTTCTGGGATCAAAAGCAATAGAGTCAGTTCAGTGAAGCCCTGCAGTCGAGTTCTTTAGCCCTGTAAGAAGGTTACCGGGTCTGCGTTATGGCCTTGCTTAATAGAATTGAAACATGAAATGCATACCAGATCCTCCACACGTGTACAAATTTCAATCAAACATTTACTTGTGCATGCCTTTAAGAGAGGCCTTACAAGGCCAGGCTAGAGGGGGCTTTGAGCAACCTGGTCTATTTCCTTGTGCATGCCTTTAAGAGAAGCCTTACAAGGCCAGGCTGGATGAGGCTTGGATCAACCTGGTCTAGTGGAAGGTGTCCCTGCCCATGGCAGGGGGGTTGGAACTAGATGATCTTTAAGGTCCCTTCCAACCCAAACCATTCTGTGATTCTGTGATATATTCCTGAGTTGCCAGCTCTGATTGAAAGACTGTTTTATTCCTTGCATCACCAAAAAAAGGAGTAAATGATTCTTTGTGGTGGTGTTAGACCCTCAAGTAGAAATGGATGAACTGGTAGTTGCATGATATTTGTTCAAGGGAAGTAAGTTCCTACCATTCCTGC